AAAGATAAAAAATTTATTAATATGTTAAAAACTTACCACTCCGTGTTTGAATGGTTCTTCCGGTATGTTTACCATGTTTTGCTTCTTCTCTGATAGCCATTCCGCATAGATATTCGAATATGCCAATGTACTCTCGGCTACTGGAGAAATAAAATACACGGGTACATCCACTGAGACATCATGCTAAAAAATATCAAAGTTAATAATCCCCACGATTTTCAGCATAACAGCATCACGAATCGCTACGTTGCATCATGACTCCCTCCTGGGTAGGTCGTGTAATGGCGCAAAAGCCGCCTGTATAAGGCCGCCGTGTCAGTATTGTAAAGTAAAGTCGATGAAATGTGGGGTTGCGGTATTGTTGAGGCGAACCAGACGACTCACGAGGAACGTGGACCCTGCTACTACCCCGAATTATTGCGCAGTCGAGGAAACGCCGAGCCAGTAATCCAACAACTACACCATGCCTGTTAGCGCTAAAATATACACACATAAAATCAAAAAAAAATTTTTTTCCCGATCACACTTTTCAAGAAAATTCAAATACCTGATCAAGTTGCGCCGAAATTACTTCAAGAAGATCGTAGACGATACCAGTTGGACAGATTGGCATTAGCACTGATCCGTTCCTTTTCAGTGTATCGGCGATCACTGCAAACGCATTGCACACCTTAAAATCAAAAATTTTTGGGATAATTTCTTAAGTGATGCGAGAATTAGCCCTTTCGGGACTTCAGACTTGCCACCCTCTAAACAAAATTCCAGGTTTTTAATCAAGTTGCGATCGCAAAAAATTGGCCCCATTAGCAGAATCACAAGCCCTGTCCCTGTCAAGCGATGACGCGATCTTAACAGAGAGTACCAGAACTGCGTTTTTTGTTTTTTTTACAAAACTGAGGATAAAACAACTAAATTCAAGAATACGAGGACTACTTGAATAACAGAATAAAAAAATTGGGTGTATTAACAACGGATGAAAGAAGACGAAGAGTAAAAAGGTAGGAGACGAGAGTTACAAAATTTGTAAATTATGAAAATTAATTTAATGGCAAGAAATGTTTCGGTCATTAAGTCGTATACATTTCTTACCATTACCACAGTTGGATAAGCAGACCTTAAGTTGGTATAATATTGGAATGTATAGTCCCAAAATGTTGGGTGTATTAAGCAAATTCGTTCAATTCTAAGCTATACCTCTCTTGAAAATATTCAAAAATTTGATTTTCTGGAGTGGAGCATTTGCTATTTCATTCTATCCTTGTATTGTTTTGTTTTAAAATTATTAAATTCTCCAATATCATAAGTAAATTTGATTACAAGTCGCAAGAATTTAGCTTACCGATGTTTCTGGGTTGTGTTCTGGAAAACGACAAACAGAAGTTAATATCAGGG